TATCAGCACAGAGCTGGGCGCGGGGCTTGAACCCATGAACCGTGAGATCATGAACTGAGCCAAAGTTGGACGCCTAACCGACTGAGCCACCCAGGCGCCCCTCAGCTGGTCTTCTAGATGAATGCCTTCAAACCTTCAAAAAACAGTTAATTCTTTTTTGTTTTTAAAGTTTATTTATATATTTGTGGAGAGAGAGGGGAAGAGACAGAGGGAGGCAGAGAATCCCAAGCAGGCTCCATGATGTTAGTGCAGAGCCCGACATGGGGCTCAAACTACGAACTGTGAGATCATGACTTGAGCCAAAAGTAAGTTGGACGCTTAACCGACTGAGCCATCCAGGCACCCCAAAGAACAGATAATTCCTATGATATTCTAAATAATTACAAAGCATAAAAATAGAAAGCTTCACAACTGATTCTACAAGGTTATAAATGATGTGATAACTAAGTTAGACAAAGACAGGGAAAACGTATACAAAAGATCACACAGATAGAAAAATCCTGAATGAAACACTGGAAATAAAATCGCCACCTTATACCAACGATACTATACCGTAATCAAGGGGAGTTTATTTGAGAAATCAGTGATGGTTAAACATTAGGGAAGCTATGATGAACTTATATCAAAGTCCTAAAAGAAAAGAGCATATGATTACTTCAATGAATACTGGCGGGGAAAGCAGATAAATCAATTTTAAATCAATACATGATTTAAAAACTCTCTTAGCAGGAGCCACATATGAACATAGTAATGACAATTTTTCAAATGTCATCAGCAAAACCAATACATTACTCATCTGGGGGAATCGGAAATTAATTGAAGTAGGGATATGGTTGACCCGGAAGTCTTAGTATCTTAATGAGAAACAATCTTTCTGAATAAATCTGCAGATATAGTGGGATGTCAATAAAAAATCCCAGCAGTGCCCACGTCATGCATGCTTTCCTGCAACCTTTACTTCTTTATTGGCTCCATTGGCCCAATAAGACTTTCTAGTGTAACAGAAGGCCCATGGATAAGGTCCATTTCTTGGCTGCCTACTGTTTCCTTGATCGAGTTGTCCCGTCTTAGGCTAACTGTGTGTCGTTTTAAACTAATTATCAATTGACAGAACTACTTTTCTTCTCCATTACTTTCCTTTTTCAGAAAGATATTTGTTTTTGGGGTGCTAGGGTGGCTCAGTAGGTTAAGCCTCTGATTCCTGATTTTGGCTCAGGTCATGATTTCATGACTTAGGGCTCTGCGCCGACAGTGCTGAGCCTACTTGGGATTCTCTCTCTCCCTCTCTCTTTCCCTCCTCTGCTCTCTCTCACACACAAAATTAATACATGAACATTAAAAAAGAAATAAAATAAGGGAGCCTGGGTGCCTCAGGGGGTTAGGCGTCTGACTTTGGCTCTGGTCACGATCTCGTGGTTCATGGGTTCAGGCACCGCTTTGAGCTCTATGCTGACAGCTCAGAGCCTGGAGCCTGCTTCCGATTCTGTCTCCCTCTCTTTCTGCCCCTCCCCCATTAACACTCTGTTTCTCTCTCTCAAAAATAAACATTTAAAAAATGTTAAAAAAGGGGCGCCTGGGTGGCTTAGTCGGTTAAGCGTCCGACTTTTGCTTGGGTCATGATCTCGCGGTTCGTGGGTTCGAGCCCCGCGTCGGGCTCTGTGCTGACTGCCAGCTCAGAGCCTGGAGCCTGTTTCAGTCTGTGACTCCCTCTCTCTCTGACCCTCCCCTGCTCACGCTGTCTCTCTCTCTGTCTCCTAGAAATAAATAAAACATTAAAAAATTTAAAAAAAATGTTAAAAAAATTTTTAATGGTTTATTGTCAAGTTGGTTTCCGTATAACACCCAGTGCTCATCCCCACAAGTGCCCTCCTCCATGCACATCTAAAATTTTTTTTAAAGAAATAAAATAAAAAGTGAACTTCTACAAAAAAGGATATTTATTTTCATGTCTTGCCTCTTTACATTCATAAATGCTTGAGTTACTATTAAATGCTTTTAACAGTCTTTTAAAAATGTTTATTCATTTTTTTTTAAAGACAGAGAAGACAAGGTGCGAGCAGGGAGAAGAAACATGTACAAAAAAAGAAAGATATTTATTTTCGTATCTTTGCCCCTTTACACTCCTAAATGCTTGTTGAGTCACTATTAAATTTTTTTACAGTCTTTTTTTTTTTTTAATGTTTATTCAGTTTTGAAAGACAGAGTGTGAACATAGAGAGAGGGAGACGCAGAATCCGAAGCAGGCTCCAAGCACAGAGCCTGACACAGGGCTCGAACCTATGAAACTTGAGGTCATGACCTGAGCTGAAATTGGATGCTTAACGAACTGAGCCACCCTGGAGCCCCTGTGTGATGTTTTTCTAATGATTAGCCTCAGGGGCTGTGAGTTTTGGTGAGATCAGAGGTAGAATTCCACTTTCATTGTATCATATCAGAGGTACTAGGCTTGGTTAAATAGCATTTCCTCCAAAGGCCTGTCCACTTGGAACCCCAGTATGTGAACGTATTTGAAAACGGGGTCTTTGCAGATGTGATGAGCTTAAGACGAGGTCATAATTAAGATGTCCTGGGGCGCCTGGGTGGCTCAGTCAGTTAAGCATCTGACTTGGGGGCAGGTCATGATCACGTGGTTTGTGAGTTTGAGCCCCGTGTCCGGGCTCTGTGCTGAAAGCTCAGAGCCTGGAGCCTGTTTCCAATTCTGTGTCTCCCTCTCTGCCCCTCCCCCACTCGCGCTCTGTCTTTCTCAGATCTCTCAAAAATAAAACATGAAAAAACTAAAAATTAAAAAATTAAAAAAAAAAAAAGACTAGTGTCCTTATAAGAAAACAGGGACCCAGAGGTAGACAGCCAGGGAGAATGCCAAGGGGCGACGGAGGCAGAGACTGGGATTACGTGGCCACAAAAGAAGGGATACCACGGATTGGAGGCAGCCATCAGAAGCTGGGAGAGTAGCATGGAACAGATTCCTCGTCTGAACCCCCAAGAGGGAACTGATCCTGCTAAGTCCTTGATTGGAGACATCCTGCCTTCAGAACTAGGAAAGAATGACCTTCTGTAGTTTTAAGCCACCAAGGTTGTGGTAACTTATTACAGCAGCCGTAGGGAACTAAGACAGGTGTATGCTATCGGGATTAATTTTGATAGTGACCTTGATCATCTGGCTGAGGGAGTGTTGCCCTCAGTGTTTCTCAGTGAAACTCAGTGAAGTGTTTCTGCACTTCAACGTGACTAATCCCACTCCCCACCCCTTTGCAGATGTGCCCTTTGGAAGGAAGTCCCTGTACACAGCTCCTTTAAGGAGTGGGGAATTAGGCTCCTGGTCACCAGGAGAGTTTATTTGTTGCCGTTGTGGAAGAGATTTCTTCTTCCAGTATTTTCATATATGGTATTACCAACGGACTGGAATTTTCTGTTGAAGAACTTGTCCGTGGCAACTTTGTTAAAACTCTTTACGAATTCTATTAGCTTTCTTTCCCATTTGCTTACTTTGGATTGTGTTCAATTGTAACTCCAATTGTAATGCTTTGGCCTCTTTCTCAATATACACGTATCACATTTCCGTTCCTCTCTGGTTATATTGGCCAGGAGAATATTAAAGAACAGCCATGATCGGAGAGTCCGTGTACATCCTAGGGTGCGGTCTGTTGGGACCCTGGGCTCCTCGTCTGCTTCCCTACATGTTAATTCTGGTGAATTAATTCTGGTTAATTCCCTACATGTTAATTACCAGTCACAGCACCCAACCCTTTGGGGAGAGAGCTGAGCATACGGTGCAGGTTCAGCCAAACATGAGACCCTATTTCCCTGCCCAGAATGATGTTTCCAGAAGGGGGCAAGAAACCTCCATGGGACCAGTCAAGTTTTCTCCCTGGCTTTTGTCCATCTGTTTGGAGCTAGAATAGGGAGGGTCTTATTATCTGGTTTACAGGGTGGGAAAGAAAGGCCTGAGGGTTGCCAGAGGCTGCCTGTGTAAACAATGAAACCACGGAGAGGAGAGATGGGGAGAGGGAAAGCACTAAAGGCTTTGTTTTAAAACCCCTGAAGCCAAACTTCCTGGTTTGGGGAGCCCCAAAATGTACTCTTTCCATTTTCTTTGCTCAAGTTGGATCGCTCCTATGACAGAAGTGATTTCCACTCTTCTGGAAATCATCCTCTTTTGGTAACTAACGTCTGTCAGGCAAGGACGGTGTACCGGGTTGAAGGCACTGGGTTCACCGACACAATCTCATTTAATCCTCACCAGGACTATCACCAGGAGATACTATTTGGGGTTCACAGAAGAGGCCAACTAAGGGTCTAGGAGGCAAGCAGGTTACTCTACTCTCCCAGGGACAACGAAGCAGGTTCCCTTGAATCCTCGTTTGTTGACGCAGCCTCTGGTCCTCCCACTTGAGGCTGATGGATACATACTCAAAAAGCCCGGGCGGAACAGGCATTGTTCTGTGGGGGGAGGTGTGGGCTTGTTGTTGTATTTTGGTAGATTTCAAGTTCTTTAATAGAGTCGGTGGGAGAGAAGGACAGCACTTCCAGACCCAGCCTCAAAAGCAGGCGCTGAGCACACGCGCAGAGCGGGGACCGCCGAAGCCAAGATGCCCGAGACGCAGGAGTGCGCCCCACCCGAGCCCTCGGCTGCCCGCCAGCTCGATCTCGGGGCGAGACCTCGAGTTCCCTCCTCGCCGCCACGGGTTCCAGAAACTGAAACCCCCGAGGGAGGCGCGGCCCAGGCCCCCGAGTTTGCGTTGGAAAACTTAGCCTGCCGGGCCCCGGAGTCCGTGGGCCTCGGCGAGAGCCGCGAGCGTCCACAGAGGTGCCGGGGCGCGAGCTATGCGCCCAAGGTCGTGGCCTGGCAGGGGGCGCGCGCGGCTGGGCCCCGGGCCGCCGGCTGGCCCGCGACGCGCGTCGGGCGGCCGGGGGCGGGGACTGGAGCGGCGGCGGCGGCGGCGGCCCCGCGGCCTCTCCGAGTCCCTCTCGCCGCTCCGCGGCCGCAGGTCGCCAGGCGCATGGAGATTGTCGAGGAGCCCGGCCCCGGAGGAGGCCAGGAGGTCACCCCCGAGCGGCGCGGGCCGTGCTGCCTGCAGCTGCCGGGCTTCCGAGAGGAGCTGAGGGCGCTCCTGGTTCTGGCGGGCCCTGCGGTGAGTAAGTTGGCTCCCGTCGGAGGTTGGCCCCGGCGGGTCGGGGGCCCGACACGCGTGTCACCCCGGGTGGCCCAGGGGGAGGAGGTCAGAGCGAGCTGGCGCAGACGCGCGGGCGCCCGGGGACACGATGGCGCGCGCGGGGCGGGCGCGCGTCCCAGCGCCTCCCAAGTGCGTCCCGGGGACGCACCCGCCCGGCACTGGTGGCGCCGCTGGCCCCGGCGAGGCATTGGGAGTCCCCGAGGAAGCGGGACCTGCTGGCCTTTAGGTGCCCTCCCTGCGTGGGTGAGGGTTCCAGGGAAGCAAGCGTCCCGCCAACCTCAGAACGCCCCGGGGAATCTGGATGGTTTGCAAACTAGCTGTTGGGTCGGGATTTCAGGTAGCTGAATTTTCTGGAGTCAGGGCGGAAGGAGGTGCATCGTCTCTCTTGGATTTAGATCTCCGGATTCTCCGGGATGATTCGGTCCCCCTCTGAACGAGGAAATTAGAAGCATCGTGCCCCACCCTCTCCTCCGCCGTTAGTGTGTTAAAGATATAAAAAGTTTTTCATGTGGTTCTCTTTGGGGCTGAGGTTTTATTTTGTTCGTTAGGTCAGGCCTCTTTCTGCGTTGTCAAAAAGTAACGCGGGTTTTAAAAACCACAAGAACCACAACAAAATATCCCATCCCTGTTCTCCTGGCAGTTTGGGTGGTTTTCAAGTCAACGGAAGAAGTTGTTTCATTGGACAAGAAGATCCCGTTGTGGTTTCAAGGCAGAAATCAGCTTTTGGCCACTTGGTAGACCGTCTGCACCTGCAGAGGCTAAGGCGGTCAGGTGCCACTTCCTGGCATGGTGACCTCGCTGTCTGTGGGATCTTGTGACACCTGCTGTGGTGTGCATGGGGGAAAAGTAATGTCAGGGACAAAGCCACGAAAGGGAAATCCCTCCCCGCAGGAAGGCGTTTGTGAAGCGCTCTTGCAAAAGGAGAGAGAGAATGCGAGGAAGCAGGGTTTGGAATCTGTTCTTGGGGGCTAGTTCCCTGCTTTGATCTCTCAGAAGGCAGGTTAGGAAACAGCTATGTGAATTTGAGTAACTCTTGTAGTTTTTGCTTATTCGTCCATAAAATGCGGATAGAAATCCGTACTTTGGCTCAATGTTCCATCGCAGACTTGCCCTGAGAAGAGTCTCTGTAAGAAATGTTAACAGCCCTAATGTACAACAGACGAACCCCACACACATGAAAGCTTCCTGAGACCCAGCCTTTTCTGGGATCGGTCCTTTGTCTCAGCTGGTCCCCACAGTAACCTGGTCCCCCTTGATGTAGGGGGGACCTTCCAGGTTTCCAGGGAGAAGCACTAGGCTGACCTGTTGACCTTTTGGGCATTATGTTTGTCCGAACACCTGTGTTTCTATGTATAGGATGGTGTTAATTACAGATACAATGTATATTACTTATAGGCAAAAATAGAACACCGGACAAAGGAGGAAACAGACGCGCACTCTGACATTTCCCCACCCAGATAATTTGGGAATTTTCCCTCCAGTTCTTTGGGTGGGGGCGGGTGGGGGGGTTTAAATGTTACTGCTTTACCCGAGGAGGTTCTACAGTTCTGGCCTCATTTACTCTCTCACGAATTGTATGTGGAGCCTCACTTGGTCTCGCTCCATCTCTATTCCCATCTGCTGTGAGTTTTCTATTTCCGGAGGGGCTTGGAGGAGGAGGAGAAGGAGATGCCTCCTTTTCTCATGCTCCGTGTCCCCTGTCCCAAGGCTCCACCATCAAGTAGGATGCCGGTCCAAATCTCTCAGTGATTTTCTCTCTCCCATTCGCTATCTCTCCTCCAGACCTCTCATATTAACACGGATCCGAGAGAGTATCAAGGCTGAGGTATTAGGACTTCTCTCCCATTGAGCCTCAGACGAGGCAGGCGTGTAAGGAGAGAATATGCGTAACACAAGGGGAAGAGGTGCATATCAGAAAACATGTCAGTGCGTGTTCTATTTATTCTGCAGAAAACATACCTGTGAGACAGGGAGGTGGTAGTTGAAACTACCTAGCCTTGGGCTTTTCAACTTTGCCTTTGTCAATGGTATTTTATCTTCACTGCCAGGCTGAGTCAGAATCCTGAAAAATAATCCCGAAGGGGCATTGCCTGCTCTCCTGGAGCACAGTCTCTGCTCATCATGACCTGAGTTGAAGTCAAGACGCTTAACTGACTGAGCCACCCAGGTGCCCCATGGACCCCATGATCTTTAAAGTTATATGAATTCACAATCGGATAGACAGCAAGGTCCCCTAGCTGGAAGCATGGAGATTGTGGCCAGTCTGCCTGGTGCAGGCCTCCGGGGGTACCCTGGCTCTAGCCTTAGGTTCTACACATTGGGGCTTCCATGCCAGCCTTTGTTATTTTCACCGCTGCCCCCAGCTTTTCATTGTCCCCTGCCCGCGCTCTAGTTTTTGGCTTTACTTCTGTGATACGTTCCAAAAGCATCCCTTCTGAAGGTCCTGTCGGATTAGAACGTGTGTGTGGGGGGGGGGGGAACCAAGCAAGATGGAACCTTGTCTGAGATCAGAACAGTTGTCGTCTCTCCTTTGGCCAATGGGACCAGCACAAGCACCTTTGTGCCCCATCAGCTTGGAAGGGACCCTTGGGGCAGACGCCAGCAGCGCCTGTCCACCCTAAGGTGTCAGTTCTGCCTCCCGCAGAGTGGGAGTCAGACGAATCCCCTCTTGGACCATGTAAGCCTCCTGGGAAAGAAGGGCTTTCCAGAGAGGTACTTTACTGCCTCTGCCTGGGTTTGGCAGGTGGGGGTGGGAGGTGCTTGTGTTTTTTTTTTTGTTTTTTTTTAATATATTTTTGAGAGTTAGAGAGGGAGACACAGAATCCAAAGCAGGCTCCAGGCTCTGAGCTGTCTGGACAGAGCCTGACATGGGACTCGAACTCGTGAACGGCAAGATCATGACCTGAGGGAAAATAGGACGTTTAACCAAGTGAGCCACCCTGGTGCCCTGGGAGGTGGTTTAAAATTAACCTAAGGAAATAAGCTAAGTGTCCAAACGCAGCTACAGCCTTGGGGAGCAGGTCATAGTAGTTTCTGGAATGATGGCTCAATGTTCCAGAAGCCGAATTTGCCCTCCTATCTGAGCCTCCACAGGATTCAAGAATTAAATGTGCTTGGCAGATGGGGGATGTCTCACCCCAAGATTCCGGAGCCACTGACCTTCCAGGCGGATGATCTCATTTGTGCCCTAGGTGGCCCTGCCTGTGGAATTGATCGAAGGTGGTGTTCTCTCCAGTTGTCCCTAGGAATTTGGGGGAACGGGGGTTATCCCAGAAGGCAGCCTCTGAAAATTCCAGAGAGTGTATACATGTGATCTGTGGCATGAGACTCTGACGTGAAAAATCCATTAAAAAAGCTAGAAAGTTCTCAAAACTGTGATTCTGGGGGCACCTGGGTGGCTCAGTCGGTTCAGTGTCGGACTTCAACTCTGGTCTTGATCCCTCGGTTCGTGAGTTCGAGCCCCGAGTCTGGCTCTGTGCTGACAGTTCAGAGCCTGGAGCCTCCTTCAGATTCTATGTCTCCCTCTTTCTCTGCCCCTCCTCTGCTTGCTCTCTGTCTCTCTCGGTCTCCCTCTCTCTCTCTCAAAAATAAAAATTAAAAAATTTAACACCCTTCGGAAAGCCTACTGGAAGTTGCGCGTTGGCCTGTGGAAGTTGGCAGAGGCCGCTACCAGCCGGATTCCTTTACTGGAGTTGATTAGGAGAGGGTGGGGGCGCCCCAACCCCGCCCCCCAGACCTCACACCCTCCTTCCGCTGTGACGCTGTGAAGGTTGGCGCCCTCACCTGTAGCTCCTTTTGTGTCTCCTCCCAGTTCTTGGCCCAGTTGATGGTGTTCCTGATCAGTTTCGTGAGCTCCGTGTTCTGCGGCCACCTGGGGAAGCTGGAGTTGGACGCTGTCACCCTCGCCATCGCAGTACGTATGGGACTTGCTACCGCAGATTTCTGAAAGCTGTCTGTGCGTTTCCTCTTGCTGCAATTACAAGCCGCCGCTCTTTACTTTATTTAATTTATTTTTAAAAATTTTTAATGTTTTATTTGTTTCTGAGGGAGAGAGACCGCGTGAGCAGGGGAGGGTCAGAGAGAGAGGGAGGTACAGAATCTGAAACAGGCTTCAGGCTCTGAGCTGTCAGCACAGAGCCCGACGCAGGGCTCGAACCCACAAACTGTGAGATCACGACCTGAGTCGAAGTCGGACAATTAACTGACTGAGCCACCCAGGCGCCCTGCTGCCGCTATTTAATGGCTCTAAACAACGCGCTGTATTATCTTCCGGTGCTGGAAGTCCCCAAGGGGTCTCACTGGTGCTGGCAAGGCCAGTAACCTCATTTCCATCTGCAGCTATAATTCTTGGCCACGTAACCTCGCATTTCCCCGCGCTCCGGGGGTTGGGTTGGGACATCTTTGGAGGGCCCTTAGTCCGCCTCCCAAATCAGGGAATTTATAATCCGTGGAGCTCTGGCTTTCTGTTCTTGGTCCCACATCTGGGAGAAGGGAACCCTAAAAGGGGGGTTGAAGTCTGACTTCATCAGGAGAAACTGTGCCCCCCCACCCCCTTCCATCTCCATGACACGGAAGTGGAAGATGAAATCCTGGATCCTAGTGTCCAGACCTAAAAGTGGGAGGAAGCCCAGATCGTCCCTGAATCCTAGATAGGAATCCCGCAAACCAAAGAGAGACGCCATTGACCTCTGCCAGGGGCTACGTGGCTATGCCTGGCCCAGTGGCGCTGCCAGTTTGTTGGCTCTGACCAGCGAGGGGTGTCTGGGAAGGCGGATTTGGGCCTGCAGCGGGTGTGTGCCCGTTCTCCGCCTCCCCGACCCCTCGCTGCTGCCCTGCTAAGCACCCCTCCGCCTCACCTAGCCATTGGCGTCTGTTACCTCGGAACTGGGAGAGACGACTCTGAACCGGGTCCTGGGTGTACATGGATTGTTCTGCTTTCAGGGAGCAACGTGGGCACCCCAGGCTTAATTATCCTTCTGGGGTTCTAATGTTTGGAAATGTGGGGGGAACAAATGCACTCAGGAAGCTTCTGGCAGCTTCTCTTTAGCCAAGCAAGTACATGAAAGTGATCCTTTGGGGCGCCTGGGTGGCTCAGTTGGTTGATCGTCTGACCTAGGCTCAGGTCATGATCTCACGGTTCGGGAGTTTGAGCCCCACATCAGGCTGCTTCCGTCAGCACAGCTTTCGTTCCTCTGTCCCTCTCTCTCTCTCTCTGCCTCTCTCCTGCTCATGCTTGCTTTCTCTCTCTCAAAAATAAAAATATAAAAAAAAAGAAAAAAGTTGGTGCTTCTAGGCCGAGTCCAGTTTGGGGCTGTTGTCCCTGGTAACCTCTCTGCAGACTCAGGTGAAGGTCACAGGTCCCAGACAGCCTGCGATGCCGCTCCCTGGCATTGGGGGTGCTGCCCTGGGCTCCCCAAAGCTCCAGGGACCCTGGGGTTTAGTTCCTGACCCTGGTCAAGATAAGCGTTACCTGGAAGCCCTCTGGACTTCAGGGGCTTGATTCTGAGCCCTCAGAATCCTTTGGCCGTGCTTGGCCTTGAGCAAGTGGACTTACCCAGAATTGCCACCGAACCACGTTACGTTCCCCTTAATTAGGATTCACGTTCCGGGGCGCCTGGGGGGCTCAGTCGGTTGAGCGTCCGACTTCGGCTCAGGTCCTTATCTCGCGGTTTGTGAGTTCGAGCCCCGCTTCGGGCTCTGTGCTGACAGCTCGGTGCCTGGAGCCTGCTTCAGATTCTGTGTCTCCCTCTTTTTCTGCTCCTCTCTCCTCATACTCTGTCTCTCTCAAATATAAAGAAATATTTAAAAAAGGGTTCCCGTTCCTTTGAAGTTAGGGAGCAAAACGCCTAGGACTGAAGAAAGAAGGCTTCCTAGTAACCCCTGGCTGAGGTGTTTCCTGTTTCTGAACTTGTGCACGGGCTTTAATTGAGTGGGGCCAGCGGATGGGCTCCGGGCGGAGAGTGGGGGTGGCTTGTCAAGGCTGCCTGTGGCCGGTGCAGACAGATTTTACCTTCCTGTCCTCCCCTTGCGCTTCTTTCCAGATGATCAATGTCACCGGAGTCTCGGTGGGCTTCGGCTTATCTTCCGCGTGTGACACCCTCATCTCTCAGGTAAACGGAGCCCCAGGCGACCCTCATGGTGACCCTGAACATCTTCCCGGGGCCATAGCTAGAAGGTCCCCACCAGCAGGAAGGGAGGGTCCTGCGCACAGAGGGAGGAGCTTCCTGACAGCAAGCCCTGTGACACTTGGCCAGCTGTCAGTTCCACTTTGCAGGGCCTGCTTCTTCGACATGGGGCTGGGTGCCACGCAGGCTTGTGCGCAGCCCCCTTACGCTGCCTTCCGGCCAAATAGGGGACATTTTGTACCAGGCCCTTTTATCACACTCTGCATCACTGAGTTTGGGCCGGTCCCATGCTTCTCAAACTTGAGTGTTTCTCCGAGCTACCTGCGGGGCTTGTCACAGCAGGCTGGTGGCATGCTGGTAAATGCTGAATGACCATGACCTGGTCTGGGGTGGGGGAGGGGGCGGAGGGACCTTCGCGCCTTGCCTTTTCCAGTGGCGGAAGTAACTAGTCTGTAGCTATTTTCTTTCTTTTTCCTTTTTTTTAATGTGTCTTATTTATTTCTGAGAGAGAGGCAGCGTGAGCAGGGGAGGGTCAGAGAGAGAGGGAGTTACAGAATCCAACAGGCTCCAGGCTCTCAGCCGGCAGTCAGCATAGAGCCTGACGCGGGGCTCGAACCCACAAACTGAGATCATGACCTGAGCCGAAGTCAGACGCTTAACCGACTGAACCACCCAGGCGCCCCTCTGTAGCTAGTTTCAAGCTACTGCACAGATGGCACTAAATGCATCCCAGGAAGAGATGTGCAAGTTCAGCTTTTGTAAGCCCGCAGGAACGGGCTGCTGCGCTCCCCCGGCGTTCCCCCAGAGCTGCGGTTTCGCGGGTTGGGGGCGGGGCCCAAGAAGCTGCATCTCTGGTAGGTTGGTTTCTGGCCGACCCTGACTCCGCATCAGAATCACGTGGGAAAAGGGGCGCCTGGGTCGCTGGGTGGGTTCAGCATCCAACTTGGGTTCAGGTCATGATCTCGTGGTTCATGAGTTCAAACCCCACATTGGGCTCGCTGCTGTCGGCGCAGAGCCCACTTCAGATGCTCTGTCCCCTCTCTCTGCCACTCGCCCACTTCTGTTCTCTCAAAAATAAAGAAGACACTTAAGAAATAAATACATAAAAATGACTGATATCTGGGTCTCACCCTGGGCCTGTTAAATCTAAACTCTTTTTATTAAAGTTTATTTATTTTGAGAGAGAGAGAGTGGGAGGGGCGGGGTGGGGTGGGGAGAGAGCATGCCAGACAGTCTCTGCACTGTTAGTGCAGAGCCCAATGCAGGGCTCAGACTCATGAGGCAGGAGACCACGACCTGAGCCAAAACGAAGAGTCAACCGACTGAGCCACTGAGGCACCCCTAAATCTAGAGACTATCTTTCGTGGGACCCTGGTATCCGTGTTTTAAAAATGTTCTCTAGGTGGGGTGCCTGGCCAGCTCTGTGGTGTATGGTACTTTCTTCTTTTTTTTTTTTTTTTAAATATTTTTATTTATTTCTAGGAGAGAGAGAGAGAGAGACAGCGTGAGCAGGGGAGGGTCAGAGAGAGAGGGAGTCACAGACTGAAACAGAATCCAGGCTCCGAGCTGGCAGTCAGCACAGAGCCCAACGCGGGGCTCGAACCCACGAACCGCGAGATCATGACCTGAGCAAAAGTCGGACGCTTAACCGACTAAGCCACCCAGGCGCCCCAATGGTACTTTCTTTTTAACGTTTGTATATTTTTGAGAGAGAGAGAGAGACACAGAACCTGAAGCAGGCTCCAGGCTCTGAGCTGTCGGCACAGAGCCCGACACAGGGCTTGAACCCAGAAACCACGAGATCATGACCTGGACTGAAGTTGGATGCCTGACTGAGCCACCCAGGCACCCCTCTTTTTTTTTTTTTAAATAAGCACTATACCCGACGTGGGGCTTGAACTCAGGACCCTGAGATTAAAAGTAGCATACTCTGGGCACCTAGGTGGCTGAGTTGGTTAAACCTCTGACTTTGGCTCAGGTCATAACCTCCTAGCTCATGAGTTCAAACCCTGCGTCGGGCTCTGTGCCGACAGCTCAGAGCCCGGAGCCCGCTCTGCCTCTGCCCCTCCCCTGCTTGTGCGTTCTCTCTCTCTCTCTCTCAAAAAATGAACATTAAAAAACATTTTTTAAAGGAAATTAAAAAAAAAGTTCTCCAGGTGATTCTAACGGGTAGCCAAGTCTGAGAACCTCTGATACCTAAAGGGTGTGGCAAAGTCATGATTGAAGGCCTTTGGGGGGACTGAGGGGGGACCGTTTCTACACTCATGGGTTTGCTTGGATTGTGTGCACCCAGACGTATGGGAGCCAGAACTTGAAGCACGTGGGGGTGATCCTGCAGAGGGGCACCCTGGTGCTGCTCTTCTGCTGCTTCCCCTGCTGGGCGCTCTTCGTCAACACCGAGAACATTCTGCTGCTCTTCAGGCAGGACCCAGCCGTGTCCAAGTAAGGGGGCCCCTGCCATGGGGGGACTGGGTCCATCTTGGCAGAAAAATGGCCCCATCTAGGTTCAGCCTCTGGGAATTCCAAAGGCCAGGGACAAGGCCGCACCCCAAGAGTGGGTTCGGCGTTCCTTAGCCGACTTTTACCAGGCTGTGGTGCTTTTCACACCTGGCGACCAAGATCTAGAACCTTCCTTAGTTGGGTGACTTCGGTGTAAATAGTTTTATAGCGAAGTGGTTTGCAGACATTCTTCGCTTGAGATAGTCGTTTACAGCGTTAGTTATGGTTCGGGCGTTCTTGACCCTGGTTAATATGAAAGTCACCTGGGTGCTTTTAAAACCCACCCATGCCTGGTCCCCCTCCCCCGTCAGTGTTCGGTTTGACTTGGCCTGAGGTGTAGTGTAGGCATGAGTGTCTTTCAGGGTTTCCCTAGATTCTCATGTGCCACCACGTTGGCCACCTGCTGGTTTAGTTAATCAAGACCTTTAAAATAAGTCCTTGTCCGAGACCAGTGGCGGTGACCTTAGGGGACACTGATCAATGGGGCCTTTCTGGTGATCAGAACTGGTACTGGGGCTTTGCGGAGACACTGCAGAATGTCGTTAGACGCCCGGATTAGTTCCCGCGGCAGACAGTTACCTGGCCATAGTGCCGAGGTTGAAAAACCCTTTGCTAGACCTAAAGATTTGGAAGAACCAGGAGAGGCCATTTGAGTTATAACAAGTGTTCCATTTCGTGGTTGAAACCTATGAATTTAGAAAGAGCCAAGAATGGGAAAGGGGGGTTTAGTTAGTTTCTCCTGCCTTGAAATAGAAACCTCTGAGGCCTTTTTTCTTTTCTTTGTACAGGCTTACCCAGGACTATGTGATGATCTTCATTCCTGCTCTGCCTGTAAGTTTTCAAGGCTTATAAGGTCCCCTTCTTTTTTTCTTTTTAAGTATATTTATTTTATTTTGAGAGAGAGAGAGAGGGAGCAAGCTTGAGCAGGGAAGGAGAAGGAGGGGGGGAGAGAGTCCCAAGATGCGCTGTCAGCGCAGAGCCCAACTCAGGGCCTGATCTGTGATCACGAATTGTGAGATCATGACCCGAGCTGAAATCAAGAGTCGGATGCTTAATTTGCCACCCAAGTTCCCCACGAGGTCCCCTTCTTGAGGTTTGTTGGTAGAAGGCACTGGAGATTCCCATGGGCTCAATGCATTGGGTCAGTCTTCTATGATTCACACGTGATGTTGGCTCCTTCAAGAAGCGTGGTTTTAATTATGCCCGTGAGGGGTGAAAGACACAAACATCTGTCCCTTACGAAACCCCAGGATCAAGGCGAGTCCAGTAAGCCGTTGGCTTGAATTTCCACACCTGGAGTGACCTCCAAGTATCATCCACGGAAAGGAGCTCAGGTTTTCTTTTTTTTCTTTTTTTTTTTTTTCTGTATGGAGGTAAATTCTTCCCTGTGTCAGAACCCCTTAGGGGCTCACTCTGAACATTTATATATTTTTTTTCCTTGCTGAGTGTGCTCACATGGAACCCTAAGTGTGTGTTCGTGTCTGACACAGAAGTGTGTGGTCCGTGAACAATCAAGGCTGATTGTATTCAGTTGGACGGTGCGGCTGTATGGGTTTGCTTGCGCTCCCCTCACAATGCACCGCAGACCGGGTGGCTTCCACAACCTTTTCTCGCACTGTGGAAGCTGGAAAGTCCCAAGATCAAGGTGTTGCAGGGTTGATGCCCTTGGAGGCCTCTCCCTGGCTTGCAGACCGCCTCCTTCTGAACTGCCTCTTCTCAGGCCGTCCCCATGGTGGGTGCAGCCCTCGTGTCTCTAGGCTTCTCGTAAGGACCTCAGTCCTGGGGCAGAGCTCACCCTCATGGTCTCATTTTAACTTACCCACTTATTTAAAGACTGTCCCCAAATGCAGCCACGCCGCAGGGTTAGGGCTTCAACATACGAATTTGGATGGTTGTAATTCAGCCCTGAAAAGTAGCCATCTGGGGGCGCCTGGGTGGCTCAGTGGGTTGAGCCTCCGACTTCGGCTCAGGTCATGATCTCACAGTTTGTGGGTTCAGGCCCTGCGTCGGCTCTGTGCTGACAGCTCGGAGCCTGGAGCCTGTTTTGGATTCTGTGTCTCCCTCTCTCTCTGACCCTCCCCTGCTCACGCTGTCTCTCTCTTAAGACATAAAAAAATTAAAAAAAAAAAAAAGTAGTCGTCTGCTTTCATCATTGGCATCATCGCTTTTAATTTCTCCCGAAGCCTCTAAAGTTTAAAATTCTTGGGGGCTCTGGGCGGCTCATTTGGTTAAGCATCCAGACTCTTGATTTCTGTTCAGGTCATGAGCTCATGGTTTGTGGGATTGAGCCCCGAGTCAGGCTCTGTGCTGACAGTGCAGAGCCTGCTTGGGACTCTCTCTTCCCCCTTCTCTCTCTGCCCCTCCTCTGCCTGCACATGTGTGCGCTCTCTCAAGATACCGTTTTTTTTGTTTTTTTTTTTTAATTTTTTTTTTTTTAATGTTTTTTTATTTATTTCTAGGAGAGAGAGAGAGAGACAGCGTGAGCAGGGGAGGGTCAGAGAGAGAGGGAGTCACAGACTGAAACAGGCTCCAGGCTCCGAGCTGGCAGTCAGCACAGGGCCCGACGCGGGGCTCGAACCCATGAACCGCGAGATCATGACCTAAGCGAAAGTCGGACGCTTAACCGACTAAGCCACCCAGGCGCCCCTCAAGATACCGTTTTTAAAAAGTTAAAGAAAATAAAGTTTAATATTCTCTATTCCACCAGATTAGAAGACTCTTACCTAGTCTATAAAAGGGGTGTCCCCCTCGTGTTTGCTCAGGGGCCTCTTTGTCATACACCCAAGGAAAGTGCGCTCCAAGGCCCTGGGGTCCCTTTTCATCCATAAAAGAGATGTTCAGAATACCCTGGCCCCAGACATGCCAGCTCCCTCCCCCTGTCCCGGTCCCCTCCTGAGATGGCATGCCTCTGCGGGTCCCAGGGGAAGCAGAGGGCACCCAAACCGTGGCTCCCAGCTCATAGCTACATGGCAAGACTAAAATGTTAACGTTCACCTCTTCTCTCGTAGGCAACCTTTCTTTATACATTACAAGTTAAATATTTGGTCAACCAGGTAATGTAGACTTTCCTTTTTCTTTGGGGGGGGGTTTGCAGTTCATGGGAGTTTATGGTTTTCAGGGATCGGGGGGCCCTGAAAACCCTCACGGATAATAGGGTGCACTCAGGACGTTGGTATGGAGAGGATTGTGAAGTGAAATCAAGGGCAGGGTCCGTTAGTATTGGCTCTGGAACATTCTTACCCGACTCCCCCTCGGAAATATTGTCATTGGCAGGATGGGGCTAGACCCATAGCGTTCTTTGGCTCCGCGCTGCTCCCTGGCTCCCTGGAAAGTGAGGGCGTGTGCCTCTGTGTCCCCCAGAAGGCGCCTGGCCGGCTCCCGGGAGCCCCTCAGTCCCTCCGGGTCTGTGTGAAAGGCCCGAGTGGCCTCGGTGGGACGCACCCAGGCCCAGCCTTTGTTCTCTGCTGTGGGTTTCAGTGGGTGGGAGACCTCCTGCGGGGGGCGGGGAGGGGGGAGAGAAGAGAATTGGGACGCGATCCCAACAAAAGATGCTGCAGGTCTGTGACAGGAAATCTGTGCCCGGAAAGGGTGCCCTGCGGGAGCACCCGGGTGGACCCTGTAAGAAACGACCCCTTGGCTGCAGGGGTCTCAGGAGAGGAGGGAGTTGCATTTAACCCAGTTTCCGTGGTGGGGCCCAGGCCTTCTGTGAGTGTAGGACAGAAGAGAGCAGCTGGCCTGGGGGGCTCTGGGGGTAAAGGTAATACCATGGGGGAGGGCGGGAGGAGCCTCAGGGGACACTGGGGGCTGCTTAGACTTTGGGGGGAAGGGAGAATTAGAGAAGGTGACCTCACAGGCTTCTGCAGACCTTCCTCTGAGGGAGGCTGTCTCTTGCAAGGCTTTGGTGTCTCCCTGCGCGCCCGGCCCCCCATTTAGAGCTCTAATCGCAGATCGTGTGTGCTGCCTGTGGGAGGCTCGTGCATGTTGCGCACTTGACCTTCTCTTCCCCAGCCTGCTTCTCCGCTTGCCTGCCTTCCTTCCCGGTTAGGGGCCTCGAACACCATCTCTCGGGATAACCTACCCTCGTCCGGGTCTGCATCTTTTCCTTCACTCCTACATCCGATCAGTGACGGTCCCTGAGGTCCTTCCTGTCCCTCTCCACCCTCCAGCTACAATTCCTCCCCCCTTCTTCCCTGTCTTACCAAATCTCCCTGCTGCCACTCCCTCCCAGGGCCAACCTCACACCACACTATTTCTTCTCTCTCTACCTGAGAGGCTTGTGTGGTCACCTACCTCCTTTGCTAAAAACTAGGCAGCGTCGCCTGATACGTAAGTGACCCACCGGAGTGATTGGCCGAGATCCCTGTCCTGGCCCCTGAGCCCAGGACGACCGAGACCTTTCTAGACAAATCGGCAGCCTGGCACACCACAGCATAGCTAGACCAGAGGAGTGTGCCTGTCGGCCAACAAGGGTGGGGGACAGTTATATTCGATTCTGATGAACGGAGTTCAGGTGCAATGCAGGGGATGCCTCGGTATGCTCGGAGCAAAGCAGGAAAGGGAAAAATGCTCGGTCCACCCTGCAAAGTGGACCCATGTCCCCTCTCCTTGGGGACCATAGAGCTCTGATGGATGCGGATTGCTGAGCCCAGAAATCTGTGAGAAGCTCTGGCCTTGAACTGGAAATCGAGGCTGCTTTTTTGGGGTGTGAAATTGACTTCAATCCCCCAGGCAGGAGAGGGATCTTTTATTTTTACCGATCACGACCTCACACAGCGAATGTCGCGTGGTCTGTGATTTTAGAGACGCAGGTTTGTCAGGGTGAGGAAGCTGCAGTCGTCAGAGAAGGGGCCGGACTGACCCCTTGCAGGTGGGAGAAGCAGCCGGCTCCGTTTTGCGCCCGTGATGCTGATCCCCTGATGCTCGGCGGGCAGCTTTGTGCATCTCCAGCCCGAGTCGTTTTCCTCTCCCGCCCGAAGTCTTAGGCTAAGATGCCAGACGGCCTGGACTTCTCTGGCCTGTCTTTCCGAGCAGAGCCAGGTGGGATGGAGTCCTTCCCACGCCCCAGCTGTGTGGGGTCGTCTTAGATCAGTGTTTGGAACTTCTGTTTGGTTTAAAAGTGCTGAGTTTTCCCCATTGTCCAGTGAGGAAGGTGACTTGTTTATGCTCCGTCTCGGCAGGTCCTTTTGCTCTGAGAGGCGGACTACTTGCATTCCTGCATGTCTGCTGCCAGGTCCTCTGCCCACATCCCTGTGGCCAGAGCTATGCATTTATCACGCCTCTGGGGGGGAGGGGAGGAGGCAGGAAGGCGGGAGCAGCAAGGACCGGCATCCAGTTAGGTCCTCCGTGCCCGTGGTGCGTGTGCATTTGGGGAGAAAGTAGCCACCCCGCTCCCTGGTGTCCAGCACACCATGGGGGTCCCTGGTCTCCAGCACACGGTGCCGTCTTTTTCCTCGTTTCAGGGAATTGTCCTGCCCCAGATCCTCACTGGAGTTGTGGCCAATCTCGTCAATGCCCTCATCAACTATCTGTTTCTCTATCAACTGCATCTTGGGGTGATGTGAGTCCAACTGATTTCTGGGGACAAGTGGTGGGCGGGGTGGGGAGGAATGACTTTTCCTTCAGCTTTTCAAGGGACGGATGGCAGGGGGGACCTATACCTAGCCGTGTGTCCCTGTGGGGTCCCTTTCCTGGGCCCTTCTGGAGAGCACTGTCTGGGACGGACAGTGAGGCTGCTCGGGAAAGAAGATGCATTTAGGGCCGCCACAGGTGTCCTCGCGCGACAGACAGGCACCTGGCCTCACTGGGACCGTTCCTCCCAGGGGGTCGGCGCTGGCAAATATGATTTCCCAGTTCACCCTGGCGCTACTTCTCTTCCTGTACATTTTCTCGAGGAAACTGCACGAAGCTACCTGGGGAGGTAAAGTCTGCCAGCTCGGGTCGTGGGTTTTTGTCTCGGGTTGAGCTGCAGCCCGGTGGCCCGTGTGTTGGTGACGTGACTCTGTCCCCGCTGCAGGGTGGTCCCTTGAGTGTCTGCAGGACTGGGCCTCCTTTTTCAGCCTGGCCATACCCAGCATGCTCATGCTGTGCATTGAGTGGTGGGCCTACGAGATCGGGAGCTTACTGAGCGGTCAGTGCGGGGACAGGTGGCGGTGGCTGGCGAGAGCGCGGGCCCCGTCCGGAAGCGCGGTGTCAGCTGTCTCTCTCCGCCAGGTATCCTCGGCATGGTGGAGCTCGGAGCCCAGTCCGTAGTGTACGAACTGACCATCATTTTGTACATGGTGAGTGTCTGGGAGCCGGTCACCTGGGGGTGCCGGGCGTTTCCCTTGAAAAGAGTCCCAGGAATGAGCATGGGCGTTCATCGCATTAGCAACTTTTGGAATGATTCACGAGGGTAGGATTTCATACGCGGAGCCAGGCAGGGCCCGTCTGGAATGATGGGGTCTTCCCGGTGAGCTCTGGGAAGTTTGGAAGAAAGAGCTTTTCAGATTTTTCCTGGCCCGGTTCAGATCTGAAAGATTTTTGTTGAAGTTTATTTACTTAGAGAGGGAATGCGAACAGGGGAGGGCCAGAGAGAGGGGAGAGAGAATCCCAAGCAGGATCCTCGCTGTCCCTGGAGAGCCCGATGTGGAGCGGGAGACCGTGACCTGAGCCGAAATTGAGACTTGATTTGATTTGCACGCTTGGCAAACCTGAAGAGTCTTTTCCAGGTGTCACAACACAGATGCCTGGGGACAGGTGGGGTGGTGAGAGGGCACTAGGCTGAAGACCCCCGGTGTCTGCTATGAGCTTGGGAGTGCATCTTTCTGTTTTCTCAAGTTCCTTTTGACGCAACACTTTGGGGAAGGGGAGAGGTCCCGTTTTAGGATTCTGTCTTATAAACCTGACCCCTGATGGTCTTTCAGAACAGACTTACTCCAGGCTGCTGGCAGTCCGTCCTCTGCATGCAGAGGAGGAACAGGATTGTTCAGGACCCTCCCGTGCACACCTTAGAAACCTTGCGCAAAAGCCCAGCATGTGATGAAGAGCCACATTCGCCTGGGGGCCCTGAGCTAGACAAATGGGCTGTTGCAACTTCGTTTCCTCAGGCCTCTTAGGACTGGGTTTTGCCAGCGAGCTGTGCGCCTTGACGTACCAGGTCCCTGTTCCCTGGGGAAGGTGCGCAGTGGCGCTCAGAACTGAGCCAAGAGGCAGGGGCCCCTCTGCTGCCTGCTCCTTCTTGCCTTTTCCTTACGATATGTCTGCTTTTCAATTTAGATACCTTCAGGCTTCAGCGTGGCTGCCAGCGTCCGGGTAGGGAACGCGCTGGGTGCTGGAAACATCGAGCAGGCCAAGAAGTCCTCCACGGTCGCCCTGCTGGTCACAGGTGCTTAGATTCCTCCGTCGGCGACTCACCCAGGTGGTGTGTGCCCGGGAAACCCAGCCGCCACGTCCCCCTGCAGATCTCATTTCTCACTGGTTGTTTCTCCATTTTTACCCTCAGGATTCTTTGCTGTAATCTTCTGCGTCCTGATGCTGACCTGTAAGGATGTTGTGGGGTACATCTTCACCACCGACCCGTGAGTGTGGACATTTTCTTGAAACGCAAAATCTGCGGGAAAGAAGTAGTTGGGTCGATAGATGCCTTCATGCTGGGCTTCCTGGAGTGTCGCATCTTGGAGGGTCCCTGAGCCATTTGCAAGATCGGAAACTCCCTGATGTTTCCTGGGAAGAACTGGTCCTATATAGGAACTAATTTATCCTCCAGAATGCCCACTTACTGGGCAATTTATTGGTGATCTATGCTGCTGGTGCTCAGGACAGGCATGTCTAGAAGAGGGAGATGCCTTTCTGGCACCATCGATTACATTTTCAGTTAATTGTTTTGTTCCCCACGATTAATGGTTTTGGTAGCTCAGAACCTGCCCCCAGGTGCCTGGGATACACAAGTCGTGTCTGTCAGTTCGAACTGAAGTTAAAATCTCCCTAAGGAGCCGCCTCCAAAAATCACATTGTCAGGTCGATCGCTGAGATGAATTCTTGTAGGAGGTGGCTCGTTTGCGTGGTTTGCGTGGTCTGTTTGGATTGGTGGCTTTCATCAGTGAGGCGGGCCGCTGCGTTTGGAGCATGTGGTGTGTTGCGAGGGCACTTCTGATTTGGGCTGCTTCTATCAGCAGTTAGAAAGCGCACGCTGACCTTTCCCTCTTGGGTTTAACAAGCAGGTGGTGGACAGGACTGCCTTGTGCTGTTTGTTCTCTGGGTGTTTGTCTTTTGACTTCTGATGTCAGGTTGTCCTCTTGAAGACTCCCACCATTTTACTGTGGGGAAATAAGATGTTCAAGTGCCCTTCGCTTCAGAGGAAGCGGAACGGCAGCCGGAAATCATTGTCACTTTCTTGCAAGGGAATCAGAATTCTCGTGATCGGATGTGGAGCCTGCACTGTTTCAGTAGGCACGTGGCAGACGTTTAATTCTGAGGCTGTCCACTTCCAGAAACCACGCAGGGCAGGAAGTAAAGCATGAAACACAGAAGGCCCAGGAACCATATCTTTGATGATGTTGGGAGACCGAGAAAACTCGCAAAAGCAAATTATTTATGGGCTGAGCAGGATCAACTGAACCTGGCAGAGTCGGTGACACAGATTCTAACAAGGTCATGGATACCTAACCTTAGCACAGAGGGAAAAGGGAGAGAGCTCGTCGACGCAAAGTAAGAAAGGGGGAAATTCCAAAAAAAAAAAACAATAATTTTTTTAAACCACGAGAGACGAGTTTACATGACCTTTTAAAAATTTATTTTTTCTTTTAGAGAGAGAGCACAAGTGGGGGTGGGGCAGAGCGATTCAAGCAGGCTCCACGCTCAGTGCAGAGCCTGACGTGGGGCTCAATCCCACAACTGTAGGATCATGATCTGAGCTGAAATCAAGAGTTGGACACTCAACCGACTGAGCCACCCAGGCGCCCCTAGTTTGCATGACTTTTGAAAGTAAATTTAAATATCTGGAAGGAATAGCGATGCCTGGGTGGCTCAGTCAGTTAAGCATCTGACTTCAGCTCAAGTCATGATCTTGTGGTTCATGGGTTCGAGGCCTGCATTGGGCTCTGTGCTGACAGCTCATAGCCTGGAGCCTGCTTTGGATTCTGTGTCTACCTCTCTCTCTGACCCTCCCTTACTTGTGCTCTGTCTCTCTCTCCCTGTCAGAAAATGAATAAACATTAAAAAAATTGTTTAACCTGAAAGGAATAATTTTCTTTTTTTTTTATTTTTATTTTTTTATTTATTTCTAGGAGAGAGAGCGAGAGAGACAGCGTGAGCAGGGGAGGGTCAGAGAGAGAGGGAGTCACAGACTGAAACAGGCTCCAGGCTCTGAGCTGGCAGTCAGCACAGAGCCCGAC